ATTGATCGCTTTGATTATTCATCGTTTGGTTTAAGTCGGACGCTATATCAAACTTGGTTCTCTGAACCACGTAACCTACTCATCGTAGTCGGACTCAAGGTGATATGACCACTAGGGTCGGGACAACAACAATCTTCTTAGTCATTACCGAAACAATGGTAACGGCATACTTGAATAAAACGAAATCAATTACTGGCTTCTTGGTAACCTTGTGACTTTCCCTGATCCAAGTGTGAGTCCTGTGCTTCCGGTAGTATAGGCCTCTACTACCATTCACACCTACTCATACTCGTCCCAAGTATTGTCCCGCAGTTTTTCCAAGTCACCATACAAGAAAACCATACAACAACTTAACACATCAGATAACAAAACAAAGGTTTTATATTATTTCTTGAAACTGTTACATAGGTGTTCAAGTTCACCCTAGACTATGCCTCTAACGGGCTACATCGTGAGGTACTATCTACACGATTACTCCATAACTCGATCCTCGGATGTCAAGCCTTCACTCTTGAATCCTTGCATTGTCATCTGCTTCGTCAAGGATCATTTGAAATGCTCTCGCCTTTGGCTTTGGTGGTACATTTGGCTTTGTAGCCCCTTCTCTCTTTGGGCAGTCTTGTTTGAAGTGTCCTTCTTCTCCACACTTAAAGCAGACTTCTCTCTTGGTTGTGCATTCACTGGCGTAATGACCAGTCTTCCCGCATTTAAAGCATGTCGTATATTTAGAGCATTTCCCGATGTGCTTCTTTCTACACTTGTCACACCATTGCGTTCCTTCTTCAAACTTCGAGAATTTTCTCTTCTCGCTGGACCTTGAAGATCCTTCAAACTTTCTCTTCTCGCCAACCTCCATCTTGCTGGAGGCTCTTCCCTTGATCATATCTTCGACAGACTTGGCAGCCCAGATAGCTGCCTCTAGAGTAGGTGCTTGACGCACTGGCACCGCGTACTCCCATGGAAGTCCTTTTGCGTACTTGTTGATTTTCGTCGGCTCATCCGGAACAAGACGCAAGGCGAACTCCATCTTCTCTGTGAAGTTGTTGGTGTATTCATCGATTGACATACTTCCCTTCTTCAGGGTTAGAAACTGGTTCTCTAGCTCAAGCAGGTTTTGAGCTGAGCAGTACTTTCGTTTGAATTGCACCAGAAATTCTGCCCATGTCAGTTGCAGAGGCTCATTAGGGCTCGGAGTCTTCCCCAAGGTATTCCACCAACGTACAGCGCCTCCTCGAAACTGACGCACTGCAAATGTGGTCTGTAGCTTCCCTCTACAACCGCATGTCATGAAGGCTAACTCCATCTCCGAGATCCAATCCATGACCCCGATCGGATCCTCCTTTCCAGTGAAAGTCGATGGCTTGCAAGTCAGAAAATCCTTGTACTTGCATCCATTCCTCTCGACCTCGTCATCTTGGTTGTTTTGTCGAACTATTGGTGGGTTGACTTGACCAACAGTCCCACTGTAGTTTCCTTCCTCAGTCTTCCCTTCGTTCAACTCGGGCTGTTCGATCTGAATAGTGGCTTCCTCACGATTTTACTGGAGCAAACGTCTAGTTTCCTCCATTTGACGATCCAACATCGCTTGGATCATCGCTTGCACTCCAGCCATTGTGACTGACTCAGGGGCGGCTTCCATCACCGGTATTTGCTCAATCACTGGGGGTTGGTTTCTGTTCCCATTTGCATTCACGTTTCCGCTACGTGTTCTTGCCATCTTGATCTATACACCGAATAAGGTGAATCTAGATCTTTACTTAGGATTGACGGTTAAATCATCCTTATCACTCCGAAACGTTTATATGCTAGTTCTAATATCGTAGTCGTACGTTTAGAATCCTAAACACATAAGGTTTCCAGATCCGGTCGGCAACAGACCATAGATCCGAACAACTAACAGCATATCAGGCACAAGTATTTAGCACATAAAAGCATTTTAGGCATAATTCCTAAAATAAGCTAGTGCTCACACCTCACAATCATCGCTTAGCATTCTAAGTTTAAGTCTAGAAATAAATCCATATTCCTAGTTCGCTTAAACTAATGCTCTGATACCAACTGTGACATCCCCAAAATCACGGCCAGAAAAGACCGATTTTTGTTTATGCTTTATAAAAATCAGAGTACTTCATTTTATAAAAAGGTTGTGGAATTTGTTCCCAGAAAAACATGGTAAATACGTTATTAAAACATTTTCGAAGAAACGTATTTATTTCATTTTAAAATGTTTGGGATGTCATCGTTAATACCGAAACATAAGCATAAACAGAACTTACAATGATTTACACTAGTGATCTACATCTCTTTTAAATCTCTCAGTGTAATGTCACTTCACTTCGTCACCTGTGATATACATAAACTGAGTGGGTCAGGTTGGGAAACCTGGTGAGTACATAGGGTTTTCAACCCACAATAATATAATTACTATGTTCAATCAAACAATCAACCCAATTACCCATCCCCATTATCTTCTTTACTCTTTAAGGATTTAACCTAAGAGTCATCTATCCTGCATTCGTTTATTCCAAAGTCCCTTACCTCCAGGGTTATAGGACTGACACTAAATCCATAGCTGCCAATGTTCATTCATAAAGCACTAATTCCATAGCTGCTATGGTCTATTCATCAGGTACTAAATCCATAGCTACCAATCTTTATCTAATAGGTACTAAGTCCATAGCTACCAATGTTCAACAGGTACTAAGTCCATAGCTACCGGTGTTTGTCCCATAGGCACTAAGTTTATAGCTGCCAATGTATCATCTTCTATCTCTCATCATTCATCTACCCATCTCATACCCAACATATTCGTATATATAAAATACGTATACAGCTTAAATTCTTTAAAACATGTATAAAACGTTCATCCAGCATAGACAGCAAGTATTTAGATAATATGCACACATAGCACGTAGTTTATATAAAATACTTCATATCTATGTGTAAGATGAAAGGGACTATGCACTCACAACACGTAAATTATATAATAAATACTTCATATCTATGTGTAAGATGAAAGGGACCATGCACTCACAACACGTAAATTATATAATAAATACTTCATATCTATGTGTAAGATGAAAGGGACCATGCACTCACAACACGTAAATTATATAATAAATACTTCATATCTATGTGTAAGATGAAAGGGACCATGCACTCACAACACGTAAATTATATAATAAATACTTCATATCTATGTGTAAGATGAAAGGGACCATGCACTCACAACACGTAAATTATATAATAAATACTTCATATCTATGTGTAAGATGAAAGGGACCATGCACTCACCTGAGAAGGTGGTGACTCGGTACTCGGGCAGCGCTTCGTTTACTTTAAAATAATTTCCTTCGACGAAACCTAGTATTATCACCAATAGATTTTAGTCTATTATTCGCCGAGACTAATTAATAGTCTAGCTATTATTACTATTATATAAGCGTTAAAAAAAATACTTATATAACCCATAATAATAGCCCAAGTATTTATTATATGTTCTTAATAACGTTCATATAATTAAATAAAAACTATATTAAAAATAGCGTAGACGTAGCTCACTTACAGCGGGTTTTATAGAAAACCAGGCTTTGCTTAGAGCAGCGTTTCCGAGCCGAAAAGCTCTTCTTCTCGGAGCCGTCGAGCACTCCGGGGATTCCGCCTCGTGCTAGGGAGGTTCCCTAGGCTTTTCGGGGGATTTCGGGGCTAGAGAGAGGTTCTAGAGAAAGAGAGTAAAGAGAAGAAAAAATGGGAAAGGTGTGAAGAAAATGAGGGTGGGAGAGGTGGTATTTATAGGGTGAAAATGGCTGAACTTGGTGCCACATGTCACCATCTAGTGGCAAGACTTGGGGAGAAAGCAATGGCCAAGATTGTGCCACATCACCCATTTTCGCACAACACACTTCCGACTTCTAAAATCCGTAACTTTCACATACGACCTCCGTTTTTGACGTTCTTTATATCCACGCGTAGGTAAAAATAATATCTACAGCTTTCATTTTGACTCCGTCAGCTAATTCTCGACCGATCTTAAATTTAACAGTATGAGGCGTTTAGACTGTTAAATGACCGCGAAGAATTCGTAACTCCTTCATACGGACTCCGTTTTCGTCTGTCTTCTTACCGTTGAGTTCCTATTAATGAGATCTTCAACTCTCATTTATTTCACGTAAGCCAAAACCGCTTGAACTAAAATTCGAGTTTCGGGCTGTATACTGCTAAGCCGAATCTTAGAAAAATCATAACTTCCTCATACGAAGTCAGATTTGGGCGTTCTTTTTATCGACGCTCTTAGTTTAGCATATTCTACGACTTTTGTTTAGATTGCTAAGGCTAAAAAGTTTTCTATCGTAAATTCACTATTTACGTCTTCCGGTGCTGTGTCGGTTTTGCCGTAAAACTTCGGCGGGCCATAACTTCTTCATTATAACTCGGATTTCGGCATTCTTTATATGTACGGAAACCTTGTGACATATTCTAAAACTTGGTTAAGACTATTCATTCTAAATAATCTTTTGTCGAAAAGTCATTTTTGACCCCTATTGCCTCTAAATTGACTAGCCCGGATCTGCGGGCGTTACATTATTATACCAATTATATTGTATGTTATTTGACCTTTATTATGTTTTTATAATTCTTTGGACTTAGTAATTTTTAGAAAGAAATCGTTGGAATGAAGTTTGTAATTTTAATTGTATTTAAAATTTTATATTTAGCGGGTACTCGTGAACCAAACCGTGGTTACCCGCCTTTATACGGTTCGGTTCGGTTCAGTTTTTTTGCTAATTCGGTTCAATTTCGGTTAGTGCACATGAAGTACCCGCCCCATGATGACAGTTAACAATTTTATTACTATCCGAACCGAACCGCCCCGTTAACACCCCTAATCTTTATAGTCTGCTCAATTGCCAAATACTCGCGGGCCAACTGTTGAACCTCAACCATTGACACAACCATTGACACGAACACTCCCTTTAATCTGATGAAAAAGTATTCCCATTTCATAAAATCGATTGCTTCCGCTTTGAGACTCTCAATGACCTTGCACCACCAATCCTTAGCTTCATCGTGCATAAAGCATGTTTTAAATCTGACTTGTCCTCCGTTGGACAAAAACAGGCGCAAAAGGCACTTTCCACATCGGAAATCCAACACATACTGAGGATTGGATCCGTACTCCCAAAGAAACAAGGAGTTTCAAAAGCATCAAACTCCTTTAAGGTGACTCTGTGACCCCATGGAAAACCATTCACCAACTCGATGTGCAGAATCCTAAGGCGCAAGTCCACCACTATGACCAACTCTTCCATGACAGTGCTGATCAACCCAAGAAAATCCTCTCTCATAAACCTCGAAATCTATGCAGCTATGATGTTGCAGAATTCCCCTCTCTCAGATCTGAATCCCCAATATGAAAGTTCTCCATCGTGAATATGAAAGATAATGAGAACACATCAAAATCAATTCACAACGTAAACCCACACTATGCATCCCTACCTACTAGTTCCTTGGTACTCCTATAACCCTTCCTTAACCTGAGTATGGATCCGGTGCTTTTAGTAGTACCGTCCCAAAACTACCTTCCCCACATATCCATACATATCCCAAGTATTGTATGAAGACTCCTATGTCACTTTGAATCACCTCACAAAACTCCTTGCACACATGCATACCACCAGCCATATACATAATACTACACTTCCTAAACTCTCTCTAGGATTCTTCCCTAACCACATACTCGCAGTCGAATAAAGCCTTACTTAATAACAATCAAGAATTCCATTACAGATGCAAGAATACACAAAAAAAAAAAAAAAAAAACATAGAAGCCATCTATACAACTCAGACAGTTCTAGCATGCAATTCATAGACGGACTCTTAGTCTATAATGTAGCATGCAGAGAAATTCATGGCACATATACATATCCATAATGATATATTTGGAATCACTTACTTCTAAAGCTTCTAACAATTGTGCGCATCACATCCTCCAATTGTTATAAAACCTTTTTAGAAAATCTTTTTCTTGAATAAATTCATTCTCTTTCAAAAGTTTTATTTAGAAAATCCCTCTACTGTCAATTTGAGTTCAGGCACAAAGATTTTTTTCATAAGACAAATTAACCAGTTAAGCATTTTTTTTCAAAAACCATTGAATAACATTTGATTGAGTGAAAACCATACATTATCCGAGTTACGTTTACAAACCATAAAAACTAAAATCATCAATACATGTGTATAGTCTTGCCAAGCTCTTCTCATGAACAACCAGTAAAATGTGTAATCCATAACTATAAGTATAAAGTTTAGTGAGTTCCCCAGTATTTCCATATATCCCACCATAAATACAATGCATGCACACATAATCCTCGACTCTATCACCAAGCAATCAAAACTCCTATCCACATACATATATCATACACAAGATCCTAACCCAAGAGTTAACAGATCTAGCCCAACTCACATAATGGGACCCATCTAACCATACATAACGGGCCCCACCCAAAGAGTAAACAGGCCTAGCCGAAACTCCATAGTCATGCATTATACCAAGAGTTTTGAGGCTATCCAACTTGACTACATACAATCCCTTCAGTTAAACATTCATCAAACAGTCAATACTCTCATTACCCTAACCAATCATGACACCTAGTAGTATTACATAAACCTCAAACAAAATTCTATCACTCTAGCATATCGTGACATCAAGTGTCCTATACTACACAAGCATAACAATGAGTTATCACAGTCAACTAACATACTTATACTCTAATAGTACCTCTATCCAATCATGCAAAGGATATAAAATGGATATGTCGTATAGTGAGAAACTCACCTGAACTGAAGAATCGAAGAATCACAACAACACTCTCACTCCTTGCATTGCTCAATCCCACGAACCGGCTAACACCAAAAGAGATAAATCCTCAATTAACAACCTAAATCCTCTAAGCTTGAACCCAAGTCAAACTATCCTATAGTCAATGGTCAACCAAGTCAATAGTCAGCATGACATGGAGACCTCTTGGCCGCATCGTAGGTATGATAGGACAAAACAGTTGGCGTGCAAGACATCAGTACGTCATGGACCCTCCTTCGCCATGTCGTGGGCATATCCGAACAAAACAATCGTGAATCTAGATTCATCCATGTCGTGGTCATTCCTTGTCCACGTCGTGGTTACTGGAAAAGTATACATATCTTTACTAGGAGCTTAATACTTCTAGAAAAAGGCTAAAAACTTCAGATATAATCCTTCTCATTGACTTAATGGATAAACTTTCCAAGCTTGTACATAAGGACCTCAATTGAAGGCAAGAGCTACAACACTAACTCCATGAAGTCCTTATATATGTCCAAAGCATGCTCCACAAGATAGATCCAAACATGATTCTTTTCTCATTTTAGAAACCTAATGACCATTTGAGAGTCACAACAAGAGTATCCACAGAATGGACGAAAATCATCCAAAATGAACTCAAACTATAAACAAGAAGATAAAAGGTCAAATTATGAACTATAAACCTTCAATAACTCTTAAATTAGAAGAAGGTGATGGACCCAAGTTAGCTCCTTGTTTCCTATATGAATATGAACTTCCTTCTTCCTCAATCCTCACAAAAATCCAAGAATAAGCTCTTCAATAAAACAAATAAGCTCTCAATCATGAATGGAGGCTAGGCTTTCAAAATAAAGAGATGGTGGCTGATGGAGAAGTCCTATTCAATAAATTAAGATGCTTAAATGTGGGAGAAACCCTAAAATCATGGGCTTGGGCTACACACTACTTGCCTCATCATTGTGGCCATCCAAACACACACATAAAAGAAATCCATGTCACATCGTGCAATATGGTCTTCCTAAAAAATGATACATTCACCTCCTTTAGATCACCAACTAATCCATTTTGGAAAACGGATGTTATACGCCTTACACACATTTTTTTTGCAAGAAAATATCAACGTAATATACAATTTTTAAAGTGATTGAGAGAGGATGAATATATTTTCATAGTCTTCAGTTCAAAACCCCATTTTTGAATGGAAGAGGACTTCATCTAAAGGTTTTAGAGATTAGGCCAATTGTAATTGGAAGATGATGTGATGGGAATTTATTTCCATATTTAACTTTAGTGTGGTTTTATTATTAAAAACCAAAATTGTTTGTAGTGTTTGAATAGACATCCACATTACATAAAAATAAAATAAAAAAGGTCCTACGAACATACCTATGTGATGAGGACTCTAATCATGATATTGGTTTTTTGGATTGCAAACCAGAGACCTTCACCAATATCTAGTAAGTGTAATGAACATTCATTTCACATGTTTTGTGATGAAAACATCTTAAAGGAATACATATTTGTATGTAGAAGATAAAGATAATGACGATGTAGAACAACATGAAGAGCATAAGCACATTAGAGATGGAAAAGAAGTTGGATTGCTGTACATGTTTGGACACATATTTGTATAGACTTGATGATGCAAAATATACACATTATAGTTATAGTTTATCTGATCATTGTAGATAGTTAGTCTTGTCTAAGTAAGTGTAAATAATATAACTTATACAAGCTAATTTGTCAGAGTTTGTTTATGTAGATAATCTAAAGATATGATGATGGAAGTTCATATGTTGAAGACTGAAGATCACCCCTTGATGAGCAAAAGACACCGAAGACACAATTAGCATGAAAGGAACTAAAAGTATTATCAGCATGAAGAGCATTCAGTAAAGACCTGATCAGTGTGTCCATACTCTGAAGTCTTTACACTGATGACACACTGAAGACATCTTGATGACATATTTGACCCTGATGGAGTTATGAACATGTGAACCAATTGAAAGCATAGTCGGCATGAATAAAACCATTGACTGAAGACTTGATCAGCTGGTACTGATGACTGATCAGTGTTTCATACACTAAAGTTCTTACACTTATGACACACTAATCATTCGATACACTAATATGTTGGTGGTTATACACTACCAGCTGAAGCTGAAGCTACTCTAGTTGAAGTTGATCAACAGATCATCTCCTAACGGTGACATCGATGCCCTGACCACGGTGACTCCCTGATGTTGATGCCCTGATTAACAAATGGTGTGTGATGCTGATATCTAAATCTACAACAGATTAGAATTACTCGGTGAAGAAGCATTCTTAATATCTACTCTGATCTATTCCGTAAATAATAGATCTACATTTATCATTAAAGAATCAATTCCATCAAATCAGGTATTTGATATAATTATAAGATATGGTGCATCTACAAAATTCTTATCTCCTAGGTTTATACTATTAGATTAGGTGTCTAAGCCAATAACTAAATTACTATAATCTTCACTTATTAGAAAAGTCCTTTTGGGTTGCCCTCAAACCTACTAATTGAATGGAATGCTATTTAGAGAGGGAGAGAGAGAGAGAGAGACTATTTTATTAACTTATTATATGATTAATAAATTAATTATAAATCAAATAAATTATTCATTAATATATTATGAGTATAATATATTAATTATAAATAGTATTGTCAATTAAGGATTAATCAAAAATTAATTAGAATTAATTTAATTAATTAAAAATGGAATGACTAAAGGTGACAATGTTTGAAAGTTGAACACTGATAAATTCTAGAACTTCCCATGGGGTGGGTGGGGGGTCTAGAGGAGTTTTAAATGGCCCCTAGAGCTTTTTTTGGGCTCTAAGGGAACTTGGATGCCTTAGGGGGAAAACAAATGGATTAGGGTAATCTAAAAGGAAATTGCCTTATCCTTAGCTTCCCTATCACCTATATAAAGCCCATTGGGTTATGATTTTCAAAATGCACCTTATTCCAAAGAGAATTTATAAAATTCCCTCATCCTCTTCTCTCTTCTTTAGCCTCCGATTTTCTAGGGTTTGGGTGTGAGCCATTAGAGGCACGAGACTTCTGGTTATTGCTTTCTGAAGACCAACAACGAAGGATTACTAGTTTATTTGCTATAATAAACTAAGGCATGAATTTTCTAATAACCCTTTTATAATTTTGAAAATAGAAAAATACTTTAAGGGTTCTTGATGTTCAATAGTTTTTTGCAAATCATAGTGAGAACACGGATCCTTTAGGGTGTATGTGAACATAAGGTTTATGTTTTTCTACCAAAAATAGAATTTCGTAACATATAAAACCTATTAGTGGTATGAAAGCCATTGTTCTCATTGATCTTGCACAAAGTTGAATAGATCAAAATTATGGTTTATAGAAACTAAACCCTAAGGAGGTAATTTATTCGAAAATCCCTAGGGTTCTTGAAATCCTAGCCTCCAACCTCATATTTTCGATTTTAGCAATGGTTTTAGGAACCATAGCCTACTTTGCTAATGTTTTGAAAATTGAGATGTCCCTTTTATGGTTTACTTTGTTTCCTTATTTGTTATTTTAAAATCCTTAAATTTTAAACAATTAAAACCTGATTAGCCCTAGCCTTTTTTTCGAAAATGAGAAGGATTTGGATTATGATTAAATTTGAATTACTTTATTAATTTGTTAATAGTAAATAATTATTTAATACCATGTATTATCCTATTAGACATCCTATTTAATTTCATACCACTTATCAATCTAATGATTCTCCATTTTAAATTTTAAATTTTAAAGTTCTCCTCTAATTATATTAAATTAATTACTAACATTATAATAAAAATTAAAATAAAATTAATACAGATTATAAAGTTATGTATTTATTTAAATCAACGATTATAATTTTATATAACTAAAAAATATCTCTTAATTACTAATTTATTTAAAATAATATAAAATTGAGTTTTGATTATAAAAGTTTAATTAATTTTGTAACCGTGACTCATACGAGTTATAAACTATTATTATAATAGACGTGAGATTGTATAATTGTAGAAATTTAAATCTTTCATGTTTTTTTATATTTTAAAATTTTATCTACTAAATTTTTATCTACCCATACATTTTATTCATCAACAAATCGATCCGTACACAAAAACCATAGGTTTGACATCATCTTCTTTTTCTTTTTGTTTATCGGCGACGAGAGGAGAAACCAATTTTCTGGTTATGCTTCACGAGATCAATAGTTGTTTGCCTTCGTTATTGACGTGGGTGAGATGGGTTGATGAATGGAATATTGTTGCATGTGTTTTCATCTTTATTGATGGTCTTTCTCTTTGACATTGAGTAGAGATACGAGGGAAGGCATGAACTCGATGGTCATAAAATCTATAATTTCAGTTTTTATTACTTAAGAAACACATGAAATGAAATGTCTATTGAAGTACTAAAAATTATAATTTTTTATTTTCCATATAATTATGAAAAAAAGATTTCAAAATTAAACATGTTAGAACTTTATGGAAGATCTATCTAATCTAAATACTATAAATTATAAACAGTTCACACGAAAACGTGATAATTTAGTTTGGAAAATTTTAAACAGTTCCCACTAAAACGTGATAATTTAGTCAGGAAAAAATTTATGCATATTGATGTCTCTTAATGAGATATATGGAAATTGGAAAAAATTTATGCATATAAATTTAATGAGATACATAGATGTTGGAAAGAGCTTTTGCCTTTTAGTTAAAAGTGCGTAGGTAGGTTGAACTATGAAATGGACGTAATTTATTTATTTATTTTAGTGGCGTGCTTTTTCTTAGGTCATTGTTAGGCTATGGGTGTCGTGAATGGCTTACCGCCAGTATCCAACATGTAAGGCTTCACCTCAAACAAACACCGGCCACGAACTTAATATTTACTGCCTGTATGGCCTTGTACCATCTGTGAAATTTAAAATTTTGGAACATTGGACGATTTGAACCGGGTAACAGTCGAGTTTCCAGGTATATTATTTTATTTAATTATTTTGAATTATGAGAAGGAACTTGGCGAGTTGATGCGTAGACTCGCCGAGTAGGGTCGTGATTGTTCATCCGGATTCGCTTTGGACTCGGCGAGTCCACGCTGTTTAATGAAACCCTAAATCCCCGGGTTTGGAGCCTATTTAAGGGTACTTATAGCCTCTCATTGCGGCTACCAATCCCTTGAGAGAACCCTAAGTGAGCCAAATCGTTGAAAGGAAGAAGAAGACACTTTTGATCCTTGTATCTTTGGTTTAGCAAGAAGGAGGTGCAAAAGCAAAAGGGGAGGTGCGATTCTAGTAGTTCCAGGGATTCAGAGACTTTATTTTGAGGTAATAGTTCGAACCTCCTTCAGTTTTGGTGTTGATCTATAGAGTTAGGGTTTTCTAACCCCTTTGGAGAGTGATTATGTGGAGCAAATGGTCCCTCTTCGAGTTTGTGCCTTGGATCTGGACTCAAAGAGGTCCAGAGACCTTAACCCTTGGAGCTTTATGGATTAGTTTGGGGTTATTGGACTTAGGTTGCCATTTTTGGGACTAAATCTCCTTTTGATGCCTTGTTGTTGTTATACAAGCATCAAGTTTCGAGCTTTACGTGACATTCATGCTTGGGAAGGCCAGATCTTTGATTTAGGGAAACAAGTCTGACCTCAGGAGGCCAGTAGAGTTTGTGCATGGCATGAACTCGCCGAGTTGTTCCTGAGACTCGGTGAGTAGGGTTAGGGTTTCACGTAAATTGCTCAGTGAGTAGACTTGCTGAGTTGGGGGATGACTCAGTGAGTCAGAAGGGAGTTAGAGGACTGGAGTTCAAGGCGGCACTCACCGAGTTGTTCTTGAGACTCGGCGAGTTGAGTCGTGGTGGCCCCGCGATTCATGCCTAGTATGACTTGTCAAGTATAGGGAGGGACTCGGGGTGCCAAGCGGGACAAAGTGTTAAAGAACATGTGTGAACTCGCCGAGTCACCAGAGTGCACTCGGCGAGTAGGGTCAAAGTGTGATCGTTGACTTTTAGGGTTTGGTTAATGGAGTACTTGTGTTGAGAGGGGGGTAAAATAGCCTTTTTCCCTCCTGAGGGTGCCAAAGGCAGGTTAAGTCTAGTCTTGAGAATTATATTTATAAGAGTATTTACTTTATGTGAATAGGCGAAGACTAGGCAATATTCCTACCGAGACGCCTGAGGTGAGTCTTTTCATTATACTTTATATAGTGTGGTAACAGAGTTATGTGACAGAGTATTTTAGAGTTATATGCCAGTGTAATTGCATGTTATTTATGTGCTATGATTTATTGTAATATGTGCTATGTATGATTCAGAGTTACAGAGTTAGGACATTTGGGTCCACAGAGTTAGGACTTTCGGGTCGACAGAGTTAGGGCCAAAGGGCCCATAGAGAGTTGGGGCTGGAGGGGCCCACCAAGACACATAGACCTGAGGGTCAATAGAGTTACAGCCTCGAGTGGCTATTATGCGTTAGAGTGGTATTTTGGGGAACTCACTAAGCATTTATGCTTACAGTGTTATGTGTTATGTGTTTCAGGTACCAGCGATGATCGCGGGAAGGCGCTGACATGATCTGTACACACGCATATCGGAGTATATATATATATATATATATATATATATATATATATATATTGATCTTGGGTTTGTATTGATATAATGTTGATATAATGATTTGTTTATGTTTTCAAATGATATTTTATGGGTTACAAAAGTGAAAAATTGTTCAAATTTTTACGGTGTTACAAACCGTTGACAAAAGGTTGGAAATGACTATATATATATATATATATATATATATATATATATATATATATATATATATATATATATATATATATTCTATTCATTTTAAACAAATCTACTATATATACAATTCATTCTTCCAAACTAAAACCACACTACACATTCTTTACAAAAAAAAATCATTGAAAATGTCTGTCAACAGCAACAATCCAAACTCTTCCAAACAAAATGCTCCAAACCAAAATGTTAACAACCCTTACGTACTTTTCGGCTACGATCCGTCATCACCACCACCTTACTGGTCATAAATGGATTGTGTTTCTAGTTATTATTCACAATTTCAAATGCCACAACAATTTCAATTCCAATCGCAACCCCAAAACCAACCATCCCAACCCGAATTTCCATCTCAACCGCCCTTCACACGTGCAATCGAATTTTTTACTGATTCTGAACATGAAAGACAACAACAACAACATCATTAACAAAAGAAAGGGAAGACCGATCCGAGAAGATGAACACAAAAAGAAGAAGTTTTGTTAGCAAATATATGGGTCGACATATCTGAAGATGGTGGTACGGAAAAGGGTCAAAATTATGTTCAATTTTGGTTACATATAACGGAACGGTTTTATAAGGGAATGGGTCGAGATCCAGATTATCGGACCTTCGAACAATGTAGCCTGAAATGGAATCTTATGAACAAACTCGTGAGTCGAGACACACAGGAATGTAATTTACACAAACTTTGAAAATCAATGGGCTTTGTGGAGAAAATGAAGCGAATTTGTTGAACAAAACGCACGCTACATTCCAAGATGATATGCTAAAGCCTTTTAAGTTTATTCATCTGTGAGAAGTTGTCAAAAGAAGCATTAGGTGGAGAGAACTTGCAATAAATGAAGAAATTGCTAATCCACCAAAAAGATGCCGGAAATTTTCATATTCGAGCTCACAACAAGTCTCATTGGATGGTCATGTAGGCATTAATCTTAATGATGATAATGACGACATCAAAGAAATACGCCCGCCTCCTCCTCCAATGGGAAGAGACAAAACAAAAGCTTGAGAAAAGGAAAAAGGAAAGCGACATCTTCAAATTCTTCGGTTGGAACCTAGTGGTCAGCTAGATCGGATGAAATGATGTCACAAATGACACAATTGGATTCTACATTAGAGAGACATATGACTGAAGCTGTCCGACTCACAGAATATTCGTTGTTAATGCAAGATGTGATGCATCTCGACCCCAAAGATCAAGAGGTGGCTAAAACGGTGATGGAGTCGATTCGCCAAAAATATAAGCTAAACCCGTAAATAAAATTTCGTTGTTATGTTTTTTCTTGTTTTTTTTTTTCTTAAATAAAAAATCATTTCATGTATTTTTTTAGGTTTTTAATGTAATTTTTAATTTTACATTAAAGGAAAAAGGAAAGCGATATCTTCAAATTTTTCGGTCGGAACCTAATGGTCAGCTAGATCGGATGAAATGATGTCATAAATGACACAATTGGATTTTACATTAGAGAGACATATGACTGAAACTGTCCGACTCACAAAATATTCGTTGTTAATGCAAGATGTGATGCACCTCGACCCCGAAGATCAAGAGGTGGCTAAAACGGTGATGGAGTCGATTCGCCAAAAATATAAGCTAAACCCGTAAATGAAATTTCGTTGTTATGTTTTTTCTTGTTTTTTTTTTCTTAAAAAAAATTCATTTCATGTATTTTTTTTAGGTTTTTAATGTAATTTTTAATTTTATGTTATTTTTTATTTTATGTTATTTTTTATTTTTAGGATTTCTAAAATGTAATTTTTAATTTTAGAATGGTTTTGACCAAACTTTTTTTTTATTGAAATTAAAAATAAATAAATAAATAAATACAACTCATAGGTAAATTTACTACACCTTAAGTGAAAATTGTAAAAACTGTAAAAACTGATGTAAAAACTGATGTGACTTCAATGTAATAGCCTTTTACCATTAGCAAGATATTTATCCGATCTACTAAATATAAAATTTAATCAGCATCTAAATGAGTTCAAGCATCGTTGAATATATATAAGGTAATTTAAGAAGTTAGTTTTTCATTTAAAAAAAATCAAGGTATTTATCCGATCTACTAAATATAAAATTTAATGAAAGCAGTTGCGGAGCCAGGATCAAAGTAAAGGGGTATCCCAATTTTTTTTAGGGTACCCAATTTTTTTCCAGGGGTGCTTGGGCTTTCCCGGTTCGGTTTCGGTTTTAAACCTAAATCTTAATCGAATCCTTAGCTAACCTCAAGTCTTATTATATAAACATGAAGTTGAAGTATATTTTGATACTTGAATCGATGTAGGACTCAAAATAGATATAAAATAAAACATGAGGATAACATGTTTATATAATAGAAAAAAGTTGTTGAGTTTACATGTATTTAGTGATGTGAGATAGAATAACTGGGAAAATATAACAAAAGTAAACAAAGAATATGTAAGAAGCAAGAATTGATCTTGAGACCTTTACTTCAATAAACCAATGCCTTAACCAGCAAACCAACTGTTTATTTGTGTTTATAAGTGGAGGGATGCGTATATATACACTATACATATTTTTTTTGAGGGATACGTAAACAAAAATTACACTACCGAAATTTTTTTGAGGGGTATCCCTGGATCCCCTTGGATCCGCCCCTGAATGAAAGAGTTGAAGGATAGGACAAGTAGAAGTGATATTAATTAGGGCTTCTACAATTGAACTCCATAGAATTCAATGGATTGTCATATCATCTTTTTAAAATCCATACAACTCTATTTTTTTTTTTTTTTCATATCATCTTAAAAAAAAAAAAAAAAAATCTCATTGAACTTCAAAATCATTGAATGCCAACATGACATCTCATAATGGTGGAGTTCCATCCATTGAATAACATATATACCAAGGTTCTAAAAAGTTCGTCATGGCTCCGCCATAGCGCGCCACGACTCTAAGGCTTACACCTGCCGCCAAACTTTGCCAAAACGCCGCTTTAAGTCATATGTGTATAAAAATAAATAATAATTGAAAATACATATAAAAATATTAATTATATACAAAATTGTCACCTCAATCACGCTTTACAAACGTTATGACTCGTCAAAGCTTGAAGATTGAAGCTTGAAGCTTGACATTACCGCTAAATCACGTCTTACATTATTTAGAACCTTGATATATACTAACCACCTCATTCAACTTTTTTATTAAATTCATAATTGTGGATGCTCTTACTTTAAACTCTACCATTATGAAATTAATTGGTTTAAACTTTACACCCTTATTAAATTTTATGTTACATTCCAATAATCATTGAATTCTTTAATAGAAGAAAATAAATATTTTATTAAATATCCATAAATTAGATTTTATAAAATATTTTATTAAATTTTATAAATTTCAGTGCATGGTATGAACAAAACTATTATAAAAATTATGAACAAAACGATTATAAAAATTATTAGACTTGTATAAAAAATAGAAAATTCATGTAGCGATCTATTTAAAGTATAGTAAATTCAGTATAATATAATGTTTTTTATATGCTTAAAAGTATTGATTTATAAGCAATATGTAGACATACTATTTTACCACATCAACTACAATGCAAGCATGTTCACTGAAAACTATATATGCGAATATTATGTCTGTCAAACTTCAATTAAGTAGTCTATAAATAGAAACCCATGGACCTTTGGATTACTCGCAAAAATAAGAAACTATGGAACTTCTATTTCTGGTTATATCTTCCATTACTTTCTTCCTCTTCCTCCATGGCCTCAACCTCTACCGTAGAAGAAAACTACCGCCGGGTCCTGTGGGCTTTCCCATCATCGGAAACCTTCTTGAGCTTGGACCAAAACCCCATGAGTCCCTTGCCAAACTCTCCAAGAAACACGGTCCACTCATGACAATCCGATTAGGCAGCATTACCAGCGTGGTGGCCTCCACACCTGACGCCGCCAGAGAAATCCTCCAACGCAATGACGAGGCCTGCTCTGGCCGTATCGTCCCGGACGCCGTCACCGCCTTGGATAACCATGATGTGGCGGTCCTATGGATCTCACCAAACGAGGAGTGGCGGACCATCCGGAAAGCCCTCAACACTTACCTCACCCACCAACATAAACTCGACACCCTCCGCGACCTTCGCCAGAATGTGGTGGAGGGCATGCTGGAGTTCCTGCGGGAGTCCGGGCGGAAGAAGGTAGGCGTGGATATAGGAAAGCTGTCATTCGCGGTGGCGCTCAACCAGATGTCAAATACATGCCTTTCACAGAACGTGACAAGCTACGAGTCCGACGATATCGGTGGGTTCAAGACGGCGGTGAAGACATTGATGGAGGTGGACGGGAAGTTTAACATAGCAGACATATTTCCGGTGTTGAAACCGTTGGACCCTCAGAACATACGCCGGCAGGCGAAGGCTGCTTACGATTGGTTCGATAAAGTGACAGCAGGTTTCATAAGTGAGAGACTAAAGCATCGAATGTCGAGCATTGAGAGGTTTGGTGATATGCTGGATTCGCTGCTGGACTATAGTGAAGAGAACCAAGCAGACTTCAATCTCATACATATCAAGACTTTACTTGTGGTAGATCCTCCTTCTTTTCTTATTTTACTATCAAACTGTTATATATATATATATATATATATATATATATATATATATATATATATATATATATATATATATATATATATATATATATATATATATATATATATATATATATATATATATATATATATACACACCAAATACTCTTAAATCTTAATGATCGAAATGTTCAATTCTTTTTTCTTTTTCAAAATAATAGGTAAGTTTTTAATGTGTACAACTGTAAATCAATAATTTTTTTTAAAAGATATGTTAATTCTTTTTTCTTTTTCAAAATAATAGGTAAGTTTTTAATGTGTACAACTGTAAATCAATCATTCTTTTTTAAAAGATATGTTAACCATTCAACATATATTTTAAAGAGTAATGATTGATTTACAGTTTTATATAATTGTGAAGTTTGAGTTCCATGGCTCTTTTATAAGAATGCTAATAATAATAATAATAATAATAATAATAATAATAATAATAATAATAATTATAATTATTGGTCTTTAAACATTTGCCGGTTCGTTCACTTCGTTGTATAATTCAAATCGTGGTGATTTGTTTCCGGTAACATGGTATAAGACTTTCTTCCAACCGAAAGCCTCTTATACTCCAACACTATTTTATTATTATTATTATTATTATTATTATTATTATTATTATAATAGTGGAAATGGCGCTATATTTATAAATGAAGAGCCACATCTAGCAAGCCAACTACTTCTAATTTAAAATAAAAGTCGCTGCTATTCTTCTCGTTTTCATAAAGTCATTACTCTAAGTTTTCCACTTACGAAACGTTGCTTACGAAAATACCAAAAATTTCATATTGATTTTATGTGGATCGTTGAATGAGACGAGGAAAGAAAATCATAGTCGGATTTGGAATTAGAGAAGTGTTGGATTGATCATATAACAATAAGGGGAGAGGGGGGGGGGGGGGGGGGTCAAAATTGTTTGATATATGATAACTATTTTAATATCTTCAAATTACAGGATTTGTTTTTAGCAGGGACGGAAACCAGCTCAAATACAACAGAATGGGCAATGACTGAATTATTGATTAATCCCGACATGTTCTCGAGAGTGCGTAAAGAAGTCTCCACAATAGTAGGAAAGGATGGGAAAATTCAAGAAGCCAAAATCCTTGATTTGCCATATTTGCATGCGGTTATCAAGGAAACAATGCGACTTCATTTATCGGTTCCATTATTAGTGCCTCACAAAACTGAGACAGAAGTTAAACTCGATAAATATGTTGTGCCAAAAAATACACAAATTTTGATCAATGCATGGTCTATAGCACGAGACCCAAGGTATTGGGAGGAGCCAGAAAGATTCAATCCAGAAAGGTTCTTGGGAAATGAGCTTGACTACAAGGGTCAACATTTCGAGTTTATACCATTTGGATCTGGCCGAAGGATGTGTCCTGGAATTCCCTTGGCTCATAGGGTTGTGAGTTTAATGGTTGCATCGTTTGTGTATCATTTTGAATGGAAACTTCCACATGCTAGAGAAGAGATGGACATGAATGATATTTTTGGCCTCACTTTGTTAAGGGCAACACCTCTCTTTGCAACACCTATACCTATTAAATAAGTGCATAGACTTTGAAGAGAGCATTCACCTATTATTAACTATGGTTAAAACAGTTGTAGTATTATTTTTAAAATTTGTAAGGTTTCGGTTATTATGCAATAAATACTTTTAAGGTAACGACGATTTCCAAAATAAATATACAAAAAATATCAATTATATACAAGATAAAGGGTTGACTCTGAAGATTGCAGGGGTGCAATTGCAAAGGCTTCAAAAAAAATATGGTTCAAGTTTTATCGTACCTAAGCATTTTATTATTGCTAATTGGTCCATGTTCAATTCGTGGCACATACAATTTATTTTTGGCAAAATTTCATTCATATCCTTTCAAACTTGAAATATTAATCGAGCACCTAGTGTACACAATTTTTTTTTTTTTTGGAAGCATTATTGTGATCTTTTGGGTGGATATGGCGTAGCTTTTGTAGAGGATATTTTATATAACTATTATCCCAGTAGGTTGTGATTCTTCCTTTCTTGCTCTTATCCCGAAAATTGAAAATCCATTATGGTTAAAGATTATCGATCTATTAGTCTCACTGTTATGCAATTTAAAATTGTTGCTAAGCTTTTAGTGAAACGTATTGCTTCGATTTACATGAGCATGTAGTACTGTAACACTTGGTTCAAGTATTATTCAATTTTCAGCATTTTAGGGTTTGGACTAGGACTCGACGAGTTGGGGAGCTCCAACTCATTGTGTAGGAATCCATTTGGTCGCGGAATTTAAGGATCCAACTTGACGAGTTGACGTTGGGAATGAAACCCTAATTTTTCCGGGTGTTGCACCCTGTTTAAAGAACTTAACTTCTAGGGATGGCCTCCTTACCAGCCTCTCTGTCCAGAAGAAACCCTAGATCGCCTTTCCCCTCGTGCATTGAGTTTTTGAAGGAAGTTTTGAAGAAAGAAGTATCAAACTTGGAAGAGAGTGTCACACCCTCGGCCAACGGCGGAAACGCCGAGGTGCGCGACGTAAACCAGTAATCACAGTTATTGAACATACATTGAACAGCACAAATTTAATCTTTTATTATTACCGAAATGGAAATTACATTGCCAGTAGTTATTGCTGAAAAGCTACACACGTCTAACAATTCGGCGTTCACAATTGTATTACAACATATCGGAGGATCTTCTGTACGAACACTTCGGACCTTATAATAACCTGAGAATACATGCATTAAGATACGTCAATAAAATTGTTGGGGAGTTCTACAGGTTTTGACACAAAGTATTTTTATACTAAAAAATGTTTTATAAAATTTATCTGGTTGACCAGCTTTTATAAACACATTCTTTTCTATAAAAAGTATGAAATAAGTGAGTCCTAAAAGTATATTTAAACTCATTTAGACAAGTCATTTGCTCAAATCCAAAAATACACCATTTGCAAAATATATAAGTAAACCAAACTTATAACAAATTCTTACGGTTCTCATGACCGAAATGCTCTTTATATAAAGATTTTGAAAGCCAATTTATATAAAATAAAATCATATCACACTTTGTGAAAACATAAAATAGCCAAGTTTACTCTTAAAACTTTGTACAAACGTTCATATAGTTTATATGTAAAACTCATAAGTTTCAAATTTTATAAACTTTGTAAATCTGTGTCGTATTATTAATTAAGCATTATCTTACTTAATTCGGAAATTAACACTTAACCAGTGGGGCAAACTCATCCCAAAATTTCTGATGGCAGTAACTAACTTCATGGCAGGGATAGGACGATGCAAAATTTTGAAAAGTTGTCGACATCCAGATAGCAAACTGTTGGATCCCAGTTGCACAATTACTTTATGGGACCTGTTTCGAAAAAGGAGAGAATTGGCTGTAAAGCTATTTGGACATGAAAGTTTAGTATGTGGGAATCACATAAGGAATGGAATAGTGCATTCCGTTTCCATTGGTTGCTTCTATGGTGGAATGTTGTTTTGATTTCCATAAGGATACACTTGATAAGCTTATTTTTTTAACTTAGAAATTCTAAAACTTCATACACCTTGACAAAAAATTTATTTTTGTACAATGTTTTTTAGGAATAGAAACAAATTGGGGGTGGAATAAGGGAAACACAATTTGTTGTGGCTTTTGTTGGTTGAAAATAGACTGAAAACGAGCTGCAACCAATCAAGCATTTTTCTCTATTTAGTGTCGTGATAACTCTGATATATTTTCAGCTAGATGAGATTAAGATTCTGCCCCCACGAAGCGGGGTAACCATCTAGTTGTAACAAAAGAAAGCTGGAACTACCTATACTTTTATTTATTGCATTTACCTAAAATAGGTACTATATAAATTATATATGGTACTACGTTGTTATTTATCGCATTTATAAAGAATAACAACATAGTTTTCCTGGTTTGTTCGTTATAGTATTTTATTGTCATTTCTTCTTATCATAACATTATACCCGACACAAAATTTTCTGTAAGAAATAGCAGTTACTTTGATTTATGCTTTTATAATAGCATTCCACTTTCATTGCTTTCTATTGTTTTTGATAAGTGGTCCAATTATATCAATATCATTTCGTAGAAAACAAATTTCAACACTATAAAAGAGTATATTTTTTTAAAATTCAATGTCCTAATAAAAACGTTAAAATTTGAAATTTATAATTGGGTAAATTTTCAAATTACAATGACTTAAAGGAAAAAAAAAAAAAGTAAAATCGGTTGTTAATTAGTGTTTAGTTGATGTAGTTTAATTATTGAGAAATTTATCAATTCATTTTACTTAAACTTTTTAAATTATATCCAACGCCATTTAAACTTTCTATTAGTTTAGTAGTCGGTATGAATTTTATAACTGGTTACTAACTCTTTTATATCCGGATTTTGTTTTCTATATAAATTTTCAATCTTTTTTGTTGTGAGAAATCACTTATTTTTCTAACTTTGATTTTTTTTTTTTTTTTTTTTTTTTTTTTTTTTTTTTTTGCATTAGGATTTCCAATTATGAATAATGTTTTTTTTTTTTTTTTCTCAATCCTGTTTTCTATGGGTTTAAACCCGGTAGATAATATGTTTCTCCTAATTGACCCATGTTGATGAAAAGAATGTTATTGGTCTTGACTTTTTGCTGAGACGAAAAAGATTAAAGTTGATTTTGAAAGAAGAAAGGATAATTGTCGTTAGGATGAGAATCCTACCGAGTTGTTGGGATTAAGGTGTTGTTTGTTTTTTCTAAAAAACCTCTTCTAACCACTTATTGTTTTATCGCGCAGCACTTGAACATTTGCAGTTGTTTGTTTTTCAAAAGACTTATGACTTAAAAACTGTTGCGCGTGTGCTGCGTGACACAACACTTGACCATTTGCTTCAAACATCTTCACATATTATTTTAACTTATTGTAGCAGTCTGCAGAAGTTAAAAAACAAACAAATTTTTTTATTACATGTTGTAGCCGTTTGATCCTCCTTTTCTGCTATAGAGGGTTGCAGAGATGATCCGCATAATTCAGACATTTTCACTTCGAAAAAACCAACGTCACCTAAGTTATTCCATAGATGGCCTTGTTATCGAGGCTTTCGGATGGGCTGTTGATCTGAAATTAATTGGGCTTGGACCAAGAATCAAGTTGAAGTTACTTATGGATGGATAGTACGTTGTGGCCTGTGGGAATAATAAGATGTGCTTGAACCAATAATGAAGTTGATCCATTTAAGTCCTAGAGGGCTAGTGGCTAGAAAGCATCACCTCATTAGACGAATCTTCATCTAAGATTTTTTTTTCCTTACTTGTGCATTCTACGGAAGCGATCAAGCCATGAAGGGTCACAGCATTTAAAATAGTTTTGTAAGTTGTTTTTTTTGTTTTCTTATCATATCCCATTAATTAGTAACAAACCATGAGCATAAAGCTTAATAAAAGAAGTTTCACGTGGATGCTTTAGTCTAATTAAGCATCAGGTATCGGTTCTATCATTCCCATTGTCGGGTCTACTTCTACATCATCAGCATAGATAGATACTGCACACTGCTGCATATATATGTTTCTATAAATAGACGTCACCCTCACATATAAATTGCATACCAATCAACGAAAAGGAAAACAATTAATGGAGGTTCTGTTTTTAGTTCTCTCCGCCGTTATTTTCTTCTTCTTCCTCCTCCATGGCATCGATCACCACCGTAGAAGGAGACTACCGCCAGGCCCAGCTGGCCTCCCAATCATCGGAAACCTCCTTGACATTGGACCAAAACCCCATGAGTCCCTTGCCAAGCTTTCCAAGAAACACGGTCCACTTATGACAATCCGATTGGGCAGCATCACCACCGTGGTGGCGTCCACACCCGATGCTGCTAGAGAAATCCTCCAACACAATGATGAGGCCTGTTCTGGCCGTATTATCCCAGACGCCGTCACCGCCTTGGACAACCATGACGCGGCGGTGATATGGATTCCAGCCAACTACCAGTGGCGGACCATCAGAAAAGCGCTCAAGACGTACTTCACCAACCATCTAAAACTTGACATCGTTCGCGACCTTCGCCAGAACGTGATGGAGGGGATGCTAGATTTCCTTCGAGAGTCCGGGCGGAAGAAGGCAGCTGTGGACATCGGAAAGCTGGCATTCGCGGTGGCGCTCAACCAGATGTCAAACACATGCCTTTCACGGAATCTGACTAGCTATGAATCTAATGATATCGGGGGGTTTAATACGGCAGTGAAGACATTGATGGAGGTGGACGGGAGGTTTAACATCGCAGACATATTTCCGGTGCTGAAGCCGTTAGATCCACAGGACATACGGCGGCAGGCAAAAGCAGCTTATGACTGGTTCGATCAGGTTACAGAAGGTTTCATAAAAGAAAGGTTAAAACATCGAGAGTCCAATAAGCTGTCGAGGTTTGGTGATACCTTGGATTCATTGCTGGACTACAGTGAAGTTCATGAAGCCGACTTCAATCTCACACACATCAAAATTTTACTTGTGGTAAAATACTAAAATGCTCTCTTCTATACCTGGCCTATTTTTCATTTTTTTATTTAAAAAAAAAAAAAAAAAAGACAGAATCCTTTCGTGTCTTGGATGAAATTGGCTGATTAAAATGGTTTTTCATATATCGTATTATAAATAAGAATAAATTAATTAAAAAATCAAATAGTTGAAAATCCTTTTTGGTCTGTCATCAATTGTTAAATGTCTTGCAGGCAGAAACAATAACAAAGATATTTACATAACCAATTTTTTTAGAATGGCATTTACATGATCAAATCTTCAACAAAAATGTTTAAGATCTAAATCCTTTCATTAAATGAAAGAACTTTGATTTGAGATAAAAAATAAATAAATAAATAAAGCTTTTGTTAATTTACGTACAGGATATATTTATAGCTGGAACAGAAACGAATTCAAGTACAACCGCGTGGGCTATGACTGAGCTACTACTTAACCCTCATATGTTCTCAAGACTTCGTGAAGAAGTCTCCATAATAGTGGGAGAAGATGGAAAAATTCAAGAAGCCAAAATCTTGGATTTGCCATATTTGCAAGCTGTAATCAAAGAGACTTTACGACTTCATTTACCTGTACCTTTATTAGTACCTCATAAAACTGAGACCGAAGTTAAACTTGGTGAATATGTAGTACCAAAAAATACACGAATTCTTGTGAATGCATGGTCCATGGCACGTGACCCTATGTATTGGGAAAACCCATTGATGTTCAACCCAGAAAGATTCTTCGAAAAAGAGCAGATTGAGTACAAGGGCCAACACTTTAAATTTATACCATTTGGATCAGGCCGAAGAATGTGTCCTGGAATATCATTTGCTCATAGGGTGGTGAGCTTAATCGTGGCATCATTTGTGTATCATTTTGATTGGAAGCTTCCTCATGCTATAGAAGAAATGGATATGAATACTGTTTTTGGACTTACATTGCTTAGGGCAACACCTCTAGTCGCTATCCCTTCACCCATCAAATTGGGCACATAATATCGTGAAGTTTCAAGTGTGTATGAAATTATTAATGAATGAATGATATAAGTTTTAAACAGTTCATGTAATTTTTAGCTTTTAATCCTCTATATATACCATATGTCATTATAGAAAAATATTAATCGTCTATATCATATTTCATTACAGAAAAATATTGAATGTTACCAACAAATTTTGTAGCTATAATTGGAAACATGGACGGAGCTAGTGAGTGTTTTGCCCCTTAACTTAATACGAGTAATATATTTCTTATTTTGTACATAATTAGTCCTTAATATGTTTGTATACATTTATTTCTTAATATTTTTTTGTTGTGAAATATGTCATTTTGTTTTTTGTACTCATTCAGTTCGTATGAATAGTTTCTTTAGGTTTCTTCACGACATCTTATCTGAAACAATTATTAATGAGGTGTTTGAGATTTTTGATACTTATGCCCATCGCGATCTTAACTATTTTGTTGATTAGGTAATGTGTTCTGAACGTCATAATTTTTTCATACGATCTTGGATTTTAATGATCATTATATTCATGCGTTCATATTTTAGTCTACTACAACTTTCGTTTAGATTACTCTCGTTAAAAAGTAATATATATTTTTATTTACGATCATTATATCCATACATTTTTCATGAATGTACGTATGGATGCTTTTTAAAAAATTGTAAGCGGATGTCAACAATCGGTTGAGAACTCATAGTTTCTCGAGAACCTAAAAACTAAAAGTGGAATGTTGGATCAAAATCAAATCATTAAGGGCATGATCGTCATCATACCAATCTCAATAATTATTTTTTTGTATTATTGGGAATATTAATAAAAAACTTTCAAATTAACATTATAAAACAAAATTTTAGATTTTTTATAAAAAAAATAATTTTCGTTTTTTTAACTGCAGATTTTTTAACTTTTTTGGAAAACATAAATGTTTAAAAATTTTGAATTTTTTTTAAAAACTACATTTTTTTTTAAAAAAACTGCAATTTTTTTGAAAAAAAAAAACTGTATTTAAAAAAACTACAAATTTTTTAATAAACCTATAATTTTTAAAACAAAATTGTAATTCAAAAAAAAAACTGCATTTTTTTTCTAAAATACAACAATTTTTTCTAAAAAAAAGTGCAACTTTTTCATAAAAAACTGCAATAAAAAAATACTGCAATTTTTTTAATAAAGCTGCATATATATATATATATATATATATATATATATATATATATATATATATATATATATATATAAATCAGTAAATTTATAAAAATAAAACTAGAATATTTAAAAAAAAAAAAAAAAACTCCAGTTTTTTTTAATAAAAAAATTAACATATTAGGTGCATATATGCATATTTTTTTCAAATGAATATATGAATATTTCTTATACTATAATATTCGTAAGTAAATCATAAAAAATCTCATTTTTATTAATTAATCTATAAACATAATAGTACAAGTATTTAATTCGATACAAAATAAAATATAAAAATTAAATAAATGCTACGAAGATTCACAATGTTATCATTTCTTCATATCAGGATTTTCATATTTTTGTCAATTTATCACTTTTCACCTATTCAATGTTTTCCACAAAAATTCTTTAAAATCTACAAAAAAAAAAAAAAATTTGATTAATGCAAAACTCATAAAAATGCACATGCATATATCATATAAGATTTACATGTGATTCATATGTGAATTACATATTAATCACATGTAATTGATATGTGAGTTACATGTTATTTACATGTGAATAACATGTAATTTTTTTTGTGATTCACTAGTGATCCATATGTGAGTCACATGTAATTCATATGTGAATCACTTGTGATTCATATGTAAGTCATATGGGATTCACTTGTGATTTACATGTGATTTTATATGTGAATTACATGTGATTCATATGTGAATCACTTGTGATTTATATGTGAATCAGTTGTGATTCATATATAAATCACTTGTGATTTACATGTGAATTACATGTGATTCATATGTGATTCACTTATGATTTACATGTGAATCACATGTGATCCATATGTTAATTACATATGATTTTTCTATAATGATATGAGATTTGCTGAATTCCAAAACACAAATTCAAAAATAGAATACTAAAGAAGCAGATGATGATTATTAGTGCACTATATAATTAGTTTATGTCCAAAAATAATATAAATATTAGAATATTTGTAAAGATTCTGCATTTTTTATAAATATTAGAATGTTTATAAAGATTCCAAAACAGTCATTATTGTTTGTGGATAAAAGGGTAAATTGGTCATTTATTCTCATTAAGTTCTCAAATAAATAATTATTATTGATTCAGCATTGTTTGTCATTTACAATTTCAATTTACAACCGTTAGTAAATAGTCAATTAGCATCACTTCTAGAAAAGAGGATAAAATGGTAATTTTTTTTTCGATATAGACATCAAATTAGAAAACAAGTTGATGAAATGATGAACAAACCTGTAGAATGCCAAGTTCGAGGGTAGTAGAATCCAATGATCATCTTTATCCGTGACATCAAAATACCCACTCCCTTCCAAGCAGTATCGTATCTCTTCATCTGCATGAATGTGTTATGTATAGAAGTTCTTCAACTTTTGCTCATAATTCTCAACTTTCTCAGGGCATAAATCCAGCAAATGCTACAAAATGAAGTCACAAAACCTAAAACCATACTCTACATCCATCTTAAGCTGAAAAAGAAAAAGAAAAATTAGGTGTATCGGTTGAATTTAGGTTAAAAGTGTGTAAGATTACCATGTCATTGTAGCCTCTGGTAGCTCTAATATGTTCTAATTCTTCATCCTCCTCGTACTTGTTTGGATTTAGCTTCTAGTACAAAATGTCCAATTCTACGTAAACTCCAAATAAGAATAGAATTTAGGGTTCCCAGAATCAAAAATCATACATGTCAGATTCTTTTTGCAATTTTGAAAGTGAAAACATAAAGGTACCTACCTGATAAGTGATCTGGGGAGACGAACTCATAGGGATTGCGATGTGAGGAAGTTGTGGATCTTCATGGCTATCATCCATGAACCATGACTGCAATGAAGAACAAAGTCGTAATTGTGGTTGTAATGCTGAAAGAAAGTCGAAGAGTTCGATTAAGAAAGCAAAATTATTTACTAACCTAGAGAATCGCAATAGAAATTAAACGAAGTGTGCCACAATTGCGTCAGTCGTCTGAATCAAAATCACAACTTCTTCACAGACGGAAGAGGAAGGAGAACTAAACGTCGTTGACGCCTTGAACCACAACCACATCACACCTTCATCTTTTTGATGATTGAAGATAATCAAGCCTGGATCGTTTCAAGATTTATCGATTGATGATTATCGATGATGATAGTTGGATTAATTGGATCTGGATTTGGAGGCGGTAATGAGACGAGATGTTGAATGATGAATAATCCTCAGATTTGGAATGCGGTGGTGTTAATTTTGGGGGAAAACGAATCAATGATGGATATAGCAACTGATGAGGGGAAGTATTGGAGAAAAAGATCGATGAAGGGAAGTATCGGAGAAGAATGTCATCGGGAGAAAGAGCACAGAACGTGCATTTGAGAGAGAGAGAGAGAGAGAGAGGTTGCAAGTTTATTGTATCAAAAGTTTGGATTAGAGAGAGAGAGAGAGAGAGAGAGAGAGAGAGAGAGAGGTTGCAAGTTTACTGTATCAAAAGTTTGGATTCAATTTAACAATATTTTGTTTCCTATAGTACCCTGATCTTATTTAATTAACATACCCCCTTCTCTTTAATTTTCTAATTATTTACAAAAAACGCCACCTTTCATCTTGACATTTCTTTTTTTGATAACGCTCCACATTTAGTTCTCAGTTTCTCAGGAAACCTTGAGTTCTCAAATGATATATATATATATATATATATTATATATATATATATATATATATATATATATATATATATATATATATATATATATATATATATATATATATATATATATATAGTAGCCATTTATCCGCGCCAAGCGTCGGGTGAGAATTGTTTTTTTCAGAAATTAATATCTACAGGCAATTAGTTCTTGTTCTCAAATACTATATAGCGTTCTTGTGTTTTCTTGAGAAAATCTCAAGCTTGTAATTATCAGATTTCAATAATATGCAACATTTTTGTGCTTCATGAAAACACCATATTCTAAATCAACAATTGCATTTAGGTTTGGAAGATTAAAATCATTAAAGTACAATGCTTTAAATGAAGAAAAAAGTTCATGTGTATGATTAAATGCAAAAATGTCCCTATATGATTAATTCATTTTCATATTGTAAAATGGTTTAGTTTATTTTATGATATGAGATGAATAAGCAGGGGAATGGTCGGCGTGGTAAGCAAATATATTATTTCTCAAGTAGTTTTTAAGATAATTTTTTTTAATAAAATTAGTATTGCATTAGGGGTCAAATGAATGAATAAACGCAAGAAGGGGGGGGGGGGGTGAAATTTTCAATTGTGATTTTTTTCAAACATGTAATTAAGGACAGGATGAGAAAGGAGGTGTCTTCCAAATTGTGATTTTTATTTTGTCAATAACCATATACAGTATTATGAATTGAACAATGTATCAATAATGACATAGATAATGATACTCGATTCCATAAATATTAATTTCTATTCAATATATCATCATCAAAGATCGGACAAAAAAGGAAAATTACATTTCTATTTCCACCGAGTCATTAGAATAACTAACGTACATTACTGTAATCAGTAACTGCTTTAGAGTAGAGAAAAGATTGAAAGTATAATGCTATTTTTGGTATTTAGCCATTAAAGAAACTTTGCAAATGATAGTATCTTATTATTGATATTCGGCTTTGGAATCATTTTGAATCAAGAATTTTGCAAAGGAACTTGATGCATGAAATAGTTAATAGGAAGCTGGTAGCCATTTCAAAAAATAATTTTGTTTGTTCAAAAAACTTAAATAATAGTTGAGTCAAAATCATGATGAATAAAAAAAACGAATAATCACTAAATGATAAAAATGGAATATAACAATTATCAATTACTAAAAATAATAATATAAAATAACATTGCCAAAATTTGAAAAACAAAATAGTTTGGGGATATACTAACCACTAACCAATCGTTCAAAAAAAAATGGCAGCATATCATAAACATTTTTTTTTTTAATTTCATGGTTTAAAAATAATTGACAGAAATGCTCTAATAAACATTATTTCCTAAGAATAAATGGATTTTTTTTCAAAATTTGTTTGTTATACTAAACAATATTTCCTTTAATTAGCCAAAAAAAGTTACAAACCATGTTACCGTTTTAAAAAATGGACATAATAAAATATGGAATATTATGGGAAACAAAAGAAGATGGAAATATGGTCAAATTGACATAAATAAAAAATGAAATATTGAAACAAAAGAAAAGGAGGGAATATGGTGTTTTGGTGGTTATTAGTGTTCATAAGAGCTTTTATAGTCACACACAACATAAAAACAAAATCACCGAACAGCTCCTGCTTAAAATATGGCTACAAATGACATTATTTAAATAAAAAAAGATATTTACATGGATCGGGACTAATCTTGCAAGAGTGGGCAACCATAAAGACCAACATGTCAAAATTTCAAAACATGGACCAAAAAACTACAAAACAGCGACAACCATAAGAACCAAAATTGTATTTACTCTAAATAAATTTAAATGCTATTCACTTGTTTTGTATAAAACCATTGTACTTTGAGAGTACATTGTTATAATCGAGTCAAAAGAAATGGCAACATACTTTCAAATATGCGTAGTAACTCAAAAATGAAATTAAAAAGTCTAAATATTTTATTTTTGACAAGTGGTGAGATAAGAATATATATATATATATATATATATATATATATATATATATATATATATATATATATATATATATATATATATATATAAACCATCGTTAAATAAAAAAAGAAAGTACATTGCTATCTATCACCATCCAACTATTAGACAAAACAATGAAATTACTTTGTTAATTCTTGTACTCAACCAATATGTTAATCTATCAATATTTTGGATTTGATGTAGAGCATCATGAACTTTGTTTTACTTAAAAGATAAAAAAATCATGAATCAAACAAAAGTTGATAATAAAAAAGGTTAAACATGCCTAAAATGCCATTGATGAGAGGGTTAAAGTCTAAGAATTGGCAGCATGTATATCCAATCAGCATACACCGTATATTTATTATTTACTATTTAGGGTTGATCAATGTAATTAAATCTTTTAAGAACATGATTCATAGTTTTAAAAATGATTCATCTTAGGAAATGATTCGACTACATTAGCATCAGTTGATGCATTATCATCAAGAACATCTGCTCCCTTTGACTTCCAATTACCAGACATAGAAGCACATGTGGATCATATTGTAATATTATTCATCAAAATATATTTCTACTAACAAATAGCATGATTTATTTATGTAAAATTATGTAAATAGGTGGATATGAAGAAATCTACTAACCAATGGCATGGATGTCATCTCCGTGGTGATAACTTTTATAAGAAACTAATTAGTAAACATTTAAACATGTATTGAATTTTAATACTTATATGTAATTAGAAACCATTTTGCAAAAAATTGCATGAAAATTATAAGATTGATTTTTACCAATTAAACAATGCCAAAGAAGGACCAGTGAGTAACGCATTTGAGTAACAAAGAAAAAGAGCATCACCTTTTCGAGCAACTATCCGACAGTAGGATTCATAAATTAATGTAGTTCTAGCCTTCTAGGTACTGTCAATATCATGGCTTCACTGTATGCTCTCTTGACATGCCCCTATTCAAATGAAGGTCAATAAGGAACTTATAATTATCCTTAAATGGAAAATTTCAAATAGTATAATTGATTATCAGTCGAGTCAAATAAATACTAATGGTAGGAAAATTAAAATAAAAAAGATTTGAAACAGAAACAAACATCAACTAAAGAAAACAAACATATTAAAAAAACATATATAACATGTTTCGGTTTCATGCAGACATTTCATTGAAGGTTCATGAACTTGTCAAAACCTTAAGATTAAGTTTTAACCTAAAGATTAAGTTTTAGAAGCTCAGTTCATCATAGTTAGAGTTTACCTTCCAAATTATAAGCCCAATTCTTCATGATGTGGTCTTTAACGTCACCGGTTCTGAGAATCATGAAACACAATAAGCTGCATTAGAAAGAATTCGAGAAATTTAAATGGTTTTTAGGTAAGAATGAGGCAAAGCAGATTCGGCCGTTGTTTTGTCATCAACTCCTCAATAGACAGTTTTGTCACACTCACAAAAAAAAACACACAGGCACTTTTTCAAAACAAAGAATATCCAAAACAAAATAAAAGATAGTGTTACTTGCTTTTATTGTATCAATCGTTGTTCCTCATCCTTGTGAGGACATACTTACGCATGTTTATTTTGTTTAGAAAAATAAGCATGACTTCTTGTAGAGAGGAATCAAACAATTTTGTGAACCGAATGATGAAAATATATATCTATACTTTCCATTTCTGAATATTCACACATGACACGTGTCGTTGGAGATGAAAGAACAAGAACTCCACGTAGCCATCTTACTTCATGACCTTTATCTATGAAGTGGAAAACTGGAAATAGACCAAATTAGTATTGAAGAACCATAATTTCGGAAAAAAAAAAAACAAAACTTAAAAAGGAAACAAACCAATAGTCTCTTATGTGAAGCAGTACAAACATGATTTAATTAGTTGGAGAATATTTCATCTTTTAACTCGATCCTAAATGAAAAGGACATTTAAAGAGTGAACACACAAATTCATATGCCATGAAATACAAACATATAAAGCACTTGTAACCTAAAAAAATTTAAAGATGTATGAGATAAACCTAACCTGCAATCAATCAAACATAAGGGAGAGCATGAGTGATAGTGGTCTATTTTTGTGCATGAGTGAGAGAGAGAGAGAGAGAGAGAGAGAGAGAGAGAGAGAGAGAGAGAGAGAGAGAGAGAGAGAGAGAGAGAGAGAGAGAGAGAGAGAGAGAGAGAGAGAGAGAGAGTTTAGTATTGGTGCCCCCATCTACATCTTCTGTCGGTGGGTGTTGATGGAAGCACCTATATCTGGTAGCCTGTGGTGATTGAGAGAGAGAGGGTTAAGAGAATTTGTAGATAAGGATAGTAATGTCGGCATCGAGGTGTTGTGTTTTAGGGTTTCTACATAGAAATTGTAGAGATGGACAAAGTTAATCATCATATAAAGAGATGGGGTCAACATGTTTGGAAATTTTGGAATTCAAGTTGAATGTAACTATATTGCTTATGAAGCGTGCTTGTGATACAAATTTGTTGACTAAATATGATATGATTTAGAGAATTCAAATGAAAAAGAAAGACTAGGTCAAGATAAGATAAGAAGACATGGGTTAAAACGTGGTTAATTTTAGCATTTTTCATGGGAGATCGTTAGGCGAATAGAAGGTTATTAGGTCAAAACATTGCATAAACTTATTGTAAGTATTGCAATTTGGTTTGTACCTCTTAAAATTCAACATTTGAAGCTAAATGCTTATTATATATATATATATATATATATATATATATATATATATATATATATATATATAGAGAGAGAGAGAGAGAGAGAGAGAGAGAGCTAGGTTCAAATGTTTCTAGCAAGTATTGTGTGCATGTATGCACCAATGAGAATTAAGGAAATAATAAATCATTAAATAAATAATGTAAGGGTATTATAGTAATCTTTGAATATTATATTATGGTAATTCATTAACTTTCTAAAACCTAGTTTTCTCCTCTCTTTATCTTCAAACAATCGACCTCAAAAATTTGTAGCCTCTTTCATGCTTCCCCATTCTATCTTCTGTTCCCTCTTTATCCTCTATTCTTCGAGTTGCTATGTACATCGTCAGAGATGGTTTCGATCAAAGGATGGAAGCCTCTTCCCTTTCTTCTATGTATAAGCAGAAGATCAATGTTGTTCCTGGTTTTTTTTCTGCATCCATCGATCCCAACCATTGCAGTCAACCTTTACTTCAAATCGTTGCCTAATGAGTCGTTGTTATTCCAATCGATTGCACAAAGTCGTTGTTATCCCAATCGATTGCACAAATACAGAGGAGTCGAGAGAGGAAGATGTAGTGGGGTCGAGACAGAAACATGCAGTCAGAGAGGGGTGAAAAGAAGACGACATCTATATCGGAACACCACAACTTGCAGTATAATGGTTCGTCTTCTCCGTCAAATTTGTAGATTAGGGTTAATTTCTGGTCGTTTCAAAACCACAAATTTCTTAAAACCCTTTCCACCTCCGACCCTCGACAACATAATTGAGGGAAAGATGGCTTCGATTAGGGTTAATTTCTGGTCGTTTTAAATCCACAAATTTCACAGTCGCTTCTTGCAGCATTAGGATCCATACAATTTGTGTCAAATATCGTGTTTGCCTATTTTGTCTTACAGAAAACAGTCGCTGTAAGTATGTGTTTTTGAATCTGCATCTTTTTTTTTTTTTTGTTATATGATCTGAAAATAACTTTTACTAACATTTGTAGCTTTTTTTGTGCAGAGTATTAGTTGCCACAACTTTTATTGTTCTTAGAAACATCGTCCTTGTTGCTTTTGGCAATCACCAATCACCTGGTATGGTATATCGTATACCACATTGGTTTTTACATTTTCGTTTTTCAAATTCTTATTCAAAGTTTATGGAAATTAAAATTCTTATGGTGATTATAAATATTATGTATGTGGATTTTACAGTTTACACACAGGAGCAGTTGGCAGAAAAGTATAGCAACAATACTTTCCTATTTTACTGTCTACTTTTGATAGTGGTGGTTCTCATGCATCATTATGTATACAGGTAAGCCCTTTAAATCGAAAGATATTTCCCTAAAAAATCATTTCATTTAATTAATTTGATAAATTGGGATGGGTTAACATTAAAAAGGAGAGGAGAATTGTTGCTTGGTATTCTAGGGAAGGATCTTATGAGATACTGGAAGTTACTGCTTCCTTTTTCAGTATCATTCTTGCAGAATAAACATGTTTCTTGATAGCTATTAGACTCTAAGTAATATTATGTTAGAATAAAGTATATGTGTTCTTATAGATTCTTTGTTTGTCAATTTTTATTATTTTAGATAAATTTTAATTCTTTAATTTGGTGTATTTTATGTTTTTCAGTCTTTTTTCGATTAAAAAATGGTGATTCGAGGATCACATTCTATCAAAATGGTTGAATAGGTTCATACTTCTTCATACACAACAAGTATATTTGTGTAACTGGTAATGAATTTGTGATACTTTATGGTTGACTTTATAGTCTCTACTACATTCTGTCAGAATTTATAGTTTTTCTTTTCTACTATATTCTGTCAAACTTTATAGTCTTTAATCTATTCTGTGAGAATCTATAGTTTTTATTCTCTTAGAATGCATTGAATTTTTAAAATTTTGAAACTTGATTATGTTTTCTATGTGGATTTAGGTTTTGAAGAGGCTAATATTGATGTGGAGAAGGAAGAAAACATAGAGAACGAGAGTGTATTATACCAGAATGTGTTAAGCTACAATGTATAAAGTGTTGCTTAAAAATAATATTATCTCAGAATAGATTAGTGTTTGTTAGATTTTGATGTTTTTTTTTTCTTTCAGAATGTTGTTATTGTTCAATGAATCACAATCATACAATGTAATTATTTGGTATATTATTAGTTCAAGAATTGATTTTGTATATTCTTTTCATAATGTATTTACTAGTTTATGGTTAACATTCTGCCATTCTGATAGAATAAAATCGAAAAATATATTTACTTGTTTAATTTTGAAATTAATTTAAAATATTCAGATTTTTAAAAATAAAGGAATTAATTATCCCTAAAAATTTGAAAATTTCCTTTTTAATATAGTTTAATTGACTAAAATGCCCTTATGCTGAAATTTGTGTGATTATATGGTACATGTTATCCTATTCTACTAACATAGACTCTTAGATCATGATCTTTGATTATATTCCATCCGATGGTCCAGATCTGTGCATTCTGGCACACAATAGTTACTAGAAACAAAATAACTTAACCTTATATATATATATATATATATATATATATATATATATATTATATATATATATATATATATATATATATGGGAAAAGTGAATATACCCATAAGGGTATATAAGCTTAGGTACCCAAACATACCATAATACGTCATTTTGTGTAATATATTCATTATAATGTTCTTAAACTTCAACCCCTAACTTGATTTAATTTCAAGATTTTCGAAATTTCACTATTATTTTTCTCTTATGTCACATCTTTTTGTCGAACACTTATTAAGTTATATTTATTGTAGTTGAAAATGAAAATTAAGTAAGAGGAAGATAAATGTGTAAAAAGTAAAAATAATGGAAGTAATCATTTTAGAAGTTAAATTATAAGAACATTGGATAATTATAATATATTATATGATACAAAACAACGTAGTATGGTGAGTTTGGGTACCTAAGCTTATATACCTTTAAGGGTATATTCACTTTTCCATATATATATATATATATATATATATATATATATATATTATATATATATATATATATATATATATATATATATATATATATATATATATATATATATATATATATATATATATATATATATATATATATATATATATATATATATATATAACTTTGAGGGCGCAAAATGTCATAACGTTTAAACATCAGGGTAAGTTATACAAATTTCTGATTTATCAATATATCATAGTCACCTGCACTGCACACATCTCATTTTCCCCAGATCCAATCCGAATCTTAACACAAACACATTCAGCTTCACTGTGTGTGTAAATTCTGGTACACCGTCAATGGTGGAGGCTCAGTCATGGACCACTCGCCGGAGCAGCAATCCTAGGCTAGAAACCTCCGTCGACATCCCGACCACGCCCACCGGTGAAGTCCGTTACGGTACCAGCAACAACATTTTCGCGGCCTTATCTATCACATCAGTCGTTTCTCCGACAATCTTAACTGCTCTGATCATCGCGTCATGGTACTTATCCAACATCGGCGTCCTCCTCCTCAACAAATACCTTCTCAGCTTCTATGGTTTCAGATACCCGATTTTCCTCACAATGCTTCACATGATCTCCTGTACTTTCTACAGCTTGATCGCAATCCGGTGGTTCCAGATCGTTCCGTTTCAACAGATTTCATCTCGAAAGCAGTTTTTTAAAATATTCGCATTATCCGCAATTTTCTGCTTTTCAGTCGTTTGTGGAAATACCTCACTCAGATACCTGCCTGTTTCATTCAACCAAGCTATTGGAGCAACGACGCCATTTTTCACCGCGATCTTCGCTTTCCTGATCACTTGTAAGAAGGAGTCTGCTGAGGTATACTTCGCTTTAATGCCAGTTGTATTCGGAATCGTTTTGGCGAGTAACAGCGAACCATTGTTTCATTTGTTTGGATTTTTGATGTGCGTGGGATCCACCGCTGGCAGAGCGTTGAAATCGGTGGTTCAAGGATTGTTGTTGACGTCGGATTCGGAGAAACTCCATTCAATGAATCTCTTATTGTATATGGCGCCAATGGCGGCGGCGATTTTGTTACCTTTTACTTTGTATATAGAAGGGAATGTGTTGGGCAAGACATTAGAGAAAGCGAAAAGTGATTCGTTTATGGTGTTTTTGTTGATCGGAAATGCTACAGTGGCGTATTTGGTGAACTTGACGAACTTTTTGGTGACGAAGCATACGAGTGCATTGACATTGCAGGTGTTAGGAAACGCCAAGGCTGCTGTTGCAGCGGTGGTTTCTGTAATGATTTTCAAAAATCCGGTGACGGCGATGGGGATTTCCGGTTTCGGGGTGACGATAATGGGAGTAGTTCTTTACAGCGAGGCAAGAAAAAGATCTAAAGTCACAGTTCACTGACAGCCAAAAAGAAAATTCACTGGTGCACGTTCTTTTCCTCTTGCTGTCATTTGATCATTGATGCCTATTTAATTTCATTTCTTTCTCAACTTAATTGAAAGCAAAGAACATCACACGATTAGATTGTATAGTATTTCATATTACTGTATACCATTCATTTACAGAACATTCCCCTGTTTCTGTTTTGTACCTTTTTACACGTTATCAGCAACATGAAGTTAGAATACAAATTTCCTGAATTGAAAGATTCTTGAAACGATATTATTTGCCTCTTTATAGTTATATATGACATATGTATGTAGAACGTTAATCACCTACTCGATTTAGCTGAACATGGATCTGTGGTTATGCTATAGAATGAAGATTGGCAACCTCTGAATGTTTGGTGTATTGACTATATTGAGTGTGTTCCAATTCATCTTTACCTTTAATATTGAGAATAGAATAATAGTATCCCTCTGAATGTTTGGAGATATGTGTATTGATTGTGGTCCGATTTAAGTTACTTTTATTGACTATCTGCTTTAATTCCTGTTGCTGCAAATGTAGAAAAGAAATTTTCAGGACCTTTCATAGTGGGAAATTTCTTTAGGAATCTTATCCAATGCTTTCTTTAATAGGAAGCTTAATTTCAAGAATATTTATTTCTGAAATCATTAGGATACCCTCTCTTCAATTGGATTAGTTTCTTGCTCAATGTTTTCAGAATGCTAAACAATGGTAGTTCTACCTTTGGTTCTTTTTCTTTTCCTTGGGAGTTGAGGGCAATTTAGTCAAGTTATTTTAAATCCATACAAATACAAAGAGTAGAAAGAAAGTAATATAGGTAAGACACCAAATATGAGCATAGTCCCATGTGAGATGAGTGCATAATTTCCTCTTTTAGCCTCAAAGACGAAATATTTATTAAGTTTGATAGGAGTTTAGGTGTACCTAATGCTTATACCCTTAGGTGTACCTTACTTCAAGTTATCTATTTTCCTTTTCTTATGCAACACCATTAGTAAAAGCGCTACAATATTAATATTATTTTATGCAGGTGGGTTGTTTGTTTCTATTAGAGTGTTGTTTTTTGGTTTTTATTTGATGGACCCCATGACATGTATTTGTGTGATGTAAAATGAGCACAAGAATGTCACTACTAAAGATGGTTTTTAACTTTTCAAAGAAATCTATCATTATTGGTACTTACACTTACAATTCTATGTTCTTTTATCAAACTTTAATGTACATACACTATTACATTGACCAAAAATGTAAAATTAACTTTATTAATAAGTTGATGATGTAAAAAAAACATGGAATTAGAGCATTTCAAAAAGCCATATATCCATTTTGCCGAATGTTCTTTTCTTTGTGATGTAAGTGATAGGGATTTTTCAACTAAAGGTGCATTTTAAACTAGCGAACATGTAAATATTCTACAACTGGATAGGGACCACAATATGTTTATTAATTTTAAATTAACTTGAGATGACGTGAAATATAATATTTCGTTCAATGAAATATATATTTGGTTAAATTTTCTTGTTTTCAAATTATCATGCTAAATACGAGCATCTCCCTACCTAATAAAATAGTAGCACATTTGCCACGTGTCAATCAATTAGAGTTTCACATTAATTATTTGCTACTTGTCATTGTAAGGTTTTTCCTCATTAATTAAATTTTCATTAATTCAGTTCTTTCCATTTTACACATATCAAACGCATCAACAAAAAATTTATTTGTAATATCTGTTGCTTAATTTATTAAATTATTATTTTTTTTTTTTATTATTGCTCAATAATTACCTTATAATTTAATTAAAATTATTTTTACCATTCTAATCCGTGGTGCCCACGGGTTATAAACTAGTTTAAAGAATATTTACTTGAAACCATGACACGACAATATGAAATATGGTTGTTACATATAGAGACCCTTCCATTCTAGGATTTTTGTGATTAATATTAGCAATTTTATAAATATTCTACAAAATTCAAATATTTTATAAAAAAAAAATAACTCATATTATATAACTTCATATATTTTACAAATATCTGAATAGTTTATAGACTATAATTCAAAAAACTGATATTATATAACTTCATATATTTTGCAAACATTCGTCGTGTTGAATTTTGGGTGTTAATAAAAAAGTTTGGACGTGTACAAATTTGTTAACCGTTTGACTTAGACTTTTTTAACGCAAAATCTAATCTATTTTTAAACTACTTAATAATTTCATATATCTCAAATACATGAAATGGTTGTAGGGAACATTGAACGTAATGATTTTTTTTTAAGTGCAAATATATTAAAGGGTAAATTACACGGATGGTCAATAAGGTTTAGGTAATCTACGAGTTTGACTTTTAACAATTTATGTTTTTTTACCTTGGATCATCTCCATTTTAAAAAATTTGTTGTACGTTTGGTTTCTATTCGTTCTAAAAACATTGATTTACCCTTATTGATTTCTTTTATATTTTTTAAATTATCAATTAATTAAAAAAAACAATTAAATGTGGAAATGATATTAATTAAATATTAAAATCTAGTGACTCCTAAATTATCACTCCACCCCACCCCTTTCCTTCTTCTCTATAAACCACCCACAAATTTGTCTTCTCCTGCAAACCATCCATAACCATGTCTTCTCCGGCGAACCAACAATAGATACCAAACCAAAACCAAAATCAAAATAATGTCTTCTCCAACAAACATGCATCAAACCCAAACGCATTCCATGAATTAAAAAAAAAAAAACAAACAAACAACTGAAATCAACTGGGAAGAAATCTCAATCAAGTCATTGGTGATTCCAAACCACGTTATCAGAAGTTAAATAAGTGGTTTCTTATGAAATGGATGGACATTTTGGTCTTCTCTGGCAACAAATTAGATTCCAATAATCACAAAAATTGGAACTTGAACCTTAAATTGATTTTGAAAGTAATCCGGAAACCAAAAGAACATGAAAACTGAAATCAAAGTCAATGGCAATTTGAAGCTTGAAATCGAACTGAAACTAAAATCAAACTGAAAACTCAAAATCAAATATGAATTCAAACCTAAAACCGAAATCAAACATGAAAACTGAAATCAAAATCGATGGCAATTTAAAGCTTGAAATCGAACTGAAACTGAAATCAAACTGAAAACTCAAAATCAAATGTGAAATCAAACTGAAATTGAAATCGAAACTTTGTTGTAGGAAGAACACGATGGATTTGTACTTAAAGATGGTTTTTAACTTTTCAGAAGAAATATATCATTAGTAATTATTAGAGTTAGAATTCTATGTTCTTTTATCAACTTTAATGGGCATACAATATTACATTGACCAAAATTGTAATTTAACTTTGTTAATAAGAGCATTTCAATTTTTTATTATTTTTTTATATGCAAGTGATATGGATTTTTCAACTAAACATGTATTTTAAACTAGTGAACAAGTTAATATTCTACAAACTGGATGGGGACCCAATATGTTTATTATTTTAAAATTAACTTGAGATGACGTGAAATATAATATTTCGTCAAACGAAATACATTTAGTGAAGTTTTCTTGTTTTGCAAATTATAATGTTGATTACGAGCATTTAAAGAATTTTTATTTGAAACGATGACACAAACAACAAAATGAAAAGACTAATATTTTTTTTATTTTTATTTTTTATTTTTTTTGAATTAGACGGTTATTTTGTAACATATGTGAAAATATGGTTGTTACATATAGAGACCCTCTCATTTTAGGATTTTTAGGATTAACGTTGGCGATTTTACAAATACTCTATAAAATTCATATATTTAAAAAAAAAAAAAAACAAATGTTATATAAACTCATATATTTTACAAATATTTAATGGTCATTGAACTTGACTTTTTTTTTTTTTTTTTATACGGGCAATATTAATTTACTTATAAAACACTAATTTATTTTAGAAGTAGATCTCAAAAAAAAAAAAAAAAAAAAAAAAAAAGCATCACTAAAAACTCTCTCCGTCTCATATTAACAGTTCATGTTTTCTTTTTGTTTTGTCCTAAAATAATAATTTACTTCTAAAAATAAATATTTTTTTTACCAAAATACCCCTGCTTATTAGTTAAATTATCATGGAATTAAATGCAACTACAATGAAATTAAATACAACAAAAATGTATAACTGTCATTTTATTTTATAAAGTTAGTATAATTAGTGTTTTCTTAATCTGTGTATTTTTTGTTTGTTTATTTTTTGAAACGGCGACTATTATTAAAAACGAACCTTGACTAGCAAGTAACTAGCAAAGGAACAGAATTACAAAAAGCGAAACATCTTTCATGGAATTAGATACATTTATGTTATGTTAAAAACAAATCGGAGAAGCATTCCTGTTTTCCCAATCGCCAATTCCATCTTTGCCCCTGCATTTTATCCAAAAGAACACCAAAGACTTAATTGCCCCTGCACCGTAATTAGGATTTTGGAATACTCTATTGAACACCCGATCATTCCTTAGTTTCCACAAAATCCAGATTAAGCCACGACAAATGCTAAGGAATCTATTTCGCTTCCTTTGGCATCTACCCCAATTTTCTGCGAAAGCGATTAAGTCACCAACTGATATGAAATCTTTCTGTTGTAAATCACACCATTTGAATATATAGCCTTCCTGATCTCACGGGCAAATGGACAATTTACGAGGATGTGATCTGAGCATTCCACTCCATTAACACAGGCACCACATTTGTCATTTTCTATGTCAACCCCTTTGCATCTCAATGCAACTACAGAAGGGATCTTCATTTGTATCGCTCTCCATATAAAACAATTCACTTTATTGGGGATATCTTGTTCCATTTAAAATTTGATACAACACGATTGGGGTATAGTGATTGTTCTAGTTTTTTTCTTAGTAAGCTTACTATGAAGTGGTTGCCGCTATCTATTGCAAAAGTCCATTGGTCTTCGCTAGGTTCCAGTTGTACCCGTGATAACTTATTTTTGAGGTTATTGATGCACTGCAGTTCG